ATGGTTTGAGTGTGAATTTGTTTAATAAGGTGACAATAATCATACAAGATTGCTTTCTCTTTAAAATGTATATTTAACTTTTTTATATTTATTTATTTATTTATATATATATATATTATTATTATTATGTATAATTTATATATATTATAATAATTATTTATTATACATTATTAATTATGATGTATTATATATTCATAGCCTATTTAACAAACGGCGTAACTCCGAAAAATATTTTACTGAAAATTATTCTACTCTCTGATACTCATACTTAGTATGAGTGAATTATTAAATCAAAAATTGATTTATAAATAATTTACTTCTTTAATAAAACAACTTTTTTTTGTGGTTTATGGTTATACTGATTTTTCTTCAAAAAGATGGCGAATTTGTATATCCGATTTAACTATGTTTCTCACACGAGTTATAGAGTGCAGTTGTCAAAAAATGATAAGGATATGTAGTAAGCACAAAATGTAACGTAAACATAAATTTTTCATATACATTTTCAAAGGGAATTAGAGGCCAGCAATGCCACTCGTTCGCAGTGCTCCCTCGGACATTCAAAACGAAAATATCCCTCGATTTGCTATGCAACACCACTGAAGGTAGGTTACATGCTTAAAAAACGATGCTCATAATTATTTTATTAACAACGGTTGGTAATTATTATTGATTATTATATCTCGGGTATTTATCATCGCTGTGTCTAGAGACACGGACGTTCGTGGTTGCAGAGCGCTCACGGACGTTCGTGGTTGCAAAGAGCTCACGGACGTTCGTGGTTATAAAGCGCTCACGACGTGATAAGAGTTAATGCAACAATATTTTATGTGATAAGAATGTATTATAAGTAGGGCTGTGAATTTAAGGCACTAAAAAACCTTGAAAAATGCATTTAAAAAATGCAAAAAAATATTCACTTAAAATGCAAAAAAAAGGAATATAAAATGCCAAAAATTATAGTGTAAAATTCATATTTATTATTTATATTTATATTAATATTATACATTATTACAAAAAAGTGTTTATTTAATAAAAAAAAAAAAAAAATAATAATAAAAATGTTGATTGAATTTGAATTTACATTTGCAAATATTTATTTACCTTATTCATCTTAGTCTTTAATGTTGCATTGGACAACAAGTGCTCGTTTGATATTTTCATATAAAAATGACTGCCGATTATCTATAAATAAATTCTTAAATGCCGAAAAACTCCTTTCAACATCTACAGATGTAATAGGAGCGTATCACATAAAAGCGATGTCATCGAAGTTGAGGTCATCTGGGAGAGACGTTCCTATTAAATCTGTTCCCTCGAGAATTTTTGATGTGTTACAAATTGTATTAAATCCCGTATTTTTTTCCAATATATTTTTTAATTTTAACTAAACGATCTTTCCTCTTTCATTTGTAATTTCATGAATTTTGTTTTGAAATTCTGTCACGATTTGAATAGAAACTGCGAGGGTACGACCAGACAATTCTAAACGAATGATAGTTTCAGGTAGTGTTCCAAAGTTAGATATAATGTATGCTAATAGTTTTAATAATATTTAATCCTACTTTTTTATTTTCATGTTTTTACATCTACAAGTGATTTTCATATATCAACATATTTTTATGTTTCTGTCAAATTAATGTTTTGAGTTCGAAGAATTTTAGTATGCTATACCTGAAAATTGTTTACAAAATAAGCACCTAGTAACACCACATGCTGTAAATGATTAATATTTGTTTATATCGATAAGCTTGGTATGGATATTGCGTTCTGCTATTTTGTAGAGCTTTCAGTGTTTTTTATACTGGGGAAAATATTTCAAAAAAACGTTTTTTGGTCTTACAGGTTTCATAAAGTGTGACAAAATTAGAATGAGCGGCTCCAACGAACTTTGTAGTATCTTTAAAAAGTCTATCATGCAATGCGAATTGTCTAAAAACTTTGATTACATCTTACAATATTTTTGATTAGTTGTAATTTTCAATTTATAATTAAACAAAATCTATTTGAATAGTTTTGTTTTTAATTTATGTTTTGTGTAACTATAGTCTCGGCAGTTAAATTATCATATTCATATTTACAAGGTTTTTATATCAATTTAGAAAATTTAAGTTCAAAAAATTGAGTTATTATTATATTATAAATTTTTCTAATCATCTTTCATTTTGCTATTGTAAATTTTTATTCATCAAAATTACTTGTTGTACACCCTATTTATTTCAGAACTTTCATTTTTTTTATTTAAAAAAAAAAAAAAAAATAAATAAATGTTATTAAGCAACTGTTATGGATAACATTACATTTCGCTATTTTATACTTTTTTTTTTTTTTAAATTAACTATAAATATATTTAATGTTACTATTTACAATTTGGGGATAATAGATACCCACTGTGCAATGGAATATTTCGGCAATATTTTTACAATATTAGTTTGTAACTTGTAATAATTACAATTTTTTTTCGTAGTTTTAATAATACAGGTAAGGTACAATTATTTTATTAGTTTTTTAAACAAATGATCTAAATTTAAGAAATTTTATTACGGGTGTTTAATACTTCAAATAAAACATTATTAGAGGAAGTTTATATGAATGTCATTTGATGATATTATTTGGTGCTTTTAATATATTATTTTTAGTAAAATGCTTTACATTAAAGTACTGTTCCTAAATAAGTTTAATTACATGATTTTTAGCTTTTTAAATGGACATAGACTATCTACTTTTTTATAAGAAAACATACTGCTTTGTGGGATTCAAATGATAATACCCTAGTAGTCCCTAGACTATAGAATAGTACTCAACGGTTTTGATTAAAATTTAATAGATTGAAATTTTTTTTCGTCAAAAATGTATATATTAAAGTAATATAAGGCACAACAATTCATACTTCAGAAGTTCCAATAAAAATGTTATCAAAACTCAACTTATAAACGGAAAAGAAATTAATCGTAATTATATAGTATATTTTTGTAGTACAGTTAAAATATATTGTGTGCCTTGTCGATTATTATTGATACTTATTCTGTCAACAGTTTTTTACTTTTGTATTTTACAACTGGAAAAAATTAAGTCAGCACGAAAATCAATTATCCATAAACATTGTGTTATTTATATGAAATACAGAGGAAATAAACTAGGACGTATTGATAGTCAACATATGTTACAAGTCGAAACCGAAACAAAATACTGAAAAGAAGTGCTAACTAAAATAATAGCTGTGGTAAAATCATTAATTAGTAAAGGACTATCATTTAGAGGTAACAATGATAAGTTTGGATCGACTCATAGTAGCAATTTCATCATGTGTTTGAAACTGAGATAGATCCTTTTCTAGCTAATCGTATTTCAAAATTTGGAAATAAGGTAAAGGAAGTATTTCTTATCCATTTTTTTCTGCGTATAAAAAGTTTATAGAATTGATCGGTGAGAAAGTTAAGAACACTATTGGTTATATGATATAAAAAACGCCAAGTATTCAACTCCTGATATTTCACATACAGACCAACTTTCATTCCTATTTAAATATGTCAAAACTTCAAAACTAATGGTGAACCCGTAGAGCGATTTTCACAGTTTTTTGCTAACTCTGGACACAAATTTGGAGGTTTGGCAGACGCAGTATTTATGGTGATTGGAGAAAATGAATTTGTTATTAAAAATTGTCGAGAGCAACCATTTGATAATGTATGAAACAAGTCAGGTGTGTATTCTGGACTTTAAGTTAGAATAAAGTATGCATGTCCTTGTGCTATTTTTGATCCACTTGCAGCATATTCGTTAAAATTAGTAGGGAAATATGCTGCTAGCTGCTGTACACTTTTTGTTGAATTTTTCAATTTTCTTCATACTTATATACATTTTTTTTTGCATCTACGTATCGTTGGGAAATATTGAGAGACCGTCTGACCAAATCCAAGAATAAAACAGTAAAAAAAATTGTCTGGTACTCGATGGGCAGCTAGACGAAAGTTGTTTAAGTCTTTCTCAAAACTGAACAGAACTTCTTAAAGCATTGAACAGTTTTATTAAAAACCAATAGAAAACTCTAAGACAAAATTTGAAGTAATGGGATTAATCAAAAAGATAAATAGCTTGGCAACGTGTATTTTCGTGTCATTTTGGAATGATATGTTATAGAGATTTAATCGTACGAATAAGAATTTAAAAACTGTTGAAATTGATTTAACAGTTGTTATAAACCTAAACACAACCTTAATTTATAATGTAACAGATTTAAGAAACACTTTTTATACTATGAACAATTCGGTATGGAAAAAAATCTGAAATTAACGAATATAAAGT